ACTTTTGAATCTTCAATTGACACAAAACGAATAATAATAGTCATGAGCTCCGAGTGACTTATATCAGGAGTACAATCTAGTATAATACTATAATACTTCGCTTCGCTAACCATAGTAACTATGCGAGACTTAATAGACTGAGCTAATAAATCAATCATCTCATTTTGAATATCTTTTCCTAAATAATGGCTTATATTTTTTTTACTATTAATTATTCTTCTTACATGTTCAGCCATCACAGAATCATACTTAGCCATAAGTTCAATTAATTTTAAAAAATTTCCATTATTATGTTTGAATAACTGATCAGATGATCCACGAAAAGCTAAATTTTGATGACCAAGAAATTGTACTACCTACATGATACGTTGTAAAACTTCATTCCAATGCCTACACTCAGATTCTAAAATACGTTGGTTTACATCATCAATTGTTTTTGTTTTTTTTAACCTCAATGACAATTCTAACCATGTACTATATGCGGTCAAATGATTTTTTGATGTTTCATGTCCTTTTAACATTTGTGTACAATGCCTCCAGTCATTATAACCTTCTAATGCCAACTTAGAGTTTGAATTATCAAATAGTTTACAGCAAAAACAAAATATTACGTCATTGGAAATAGAGTATACAAGCCATGTCCTTGTGACATTTTCTCCATTACTCATACTTCGTTTATAATGAAATTGTGTGAATTTTCGTCCTTGATCATCTGAAGGAAATACAAAATTTGCATTTAATGGAGCAGGAGGACCTTTTTCAACTAACAATGTTTTAAAGTCGTTATTAATAATTAAAGGCCATTCAGCAGGGTCTGTACTAATATTAATTAAAGAATTAAAGGAATTTTGGTTGACATTTTCTGTTAAACTTTTGACTATTGTAGTTTCAGAAGGTACAGTGACTGCTTCAACTGAGACAGAGTCAAAAACCTCACTGGGTTGCATTACAACACTGTCTGTTATATTTTTGGCTACTGTAGTTTCAGAAGGTACAGTGGCATCTATAACTGAGAAAGAGTCAAAAACTTCACTAGGTTGTACAACTACAGCATTTGAAATATCTAATGACGAGGAAGAACCCGTTAAAAATTTTTTGATAGAATTAGACTGTTTTTTAATTACAGCTTCTTTTTCACGTTTTCTCTTCCTATATTCTGCACCAGAAAGTCGCTGTCTACCATCCGACATATTGGCGCTTTCTTAACTTTTTACTATATAAATAAAAAATATGATGTTAATTTCTTATAAAAAAAAAATATGATAGTTTTAAAACGGGTTTTACTTAATTCATTGTATTTATTATTTACATAAATTACCTACTTAATATTAATAATTGTATAATATAATAAAAATAAATACTCACCAAATTATAAATATTAAAATAATAATATGATATGTTGAATGTTGTTTGACTAAATAATGTGCACAGTACTCTATAATCGTTGACGCTACGACGCTCGTTGACAAACTACAATATACTAGGTACGTATAGTTCGATAGT